CATGGCTGAGATTGTGGATCCTATTCTGGAAACTAGGGACAGATCCCAAACTGCCGGAGAATTGCAGAATGTTCATTCTGCTTATCGGTTAAATGGGAAGAATTTTCTCAAATGGTCTCAACTTATTAGGACCATCTTGAAAGGAAAAGGAAAGGTCAGTCACCTAACTGATAGTGCACCTGATGAAACAAATCCCAACTTCAAATCATGGGAAGAAAAAGACTCCATGATCATGGCGTGGCTGTGGAATTCAATGGTCCCAGAAATTAGTGATACCTGCATGTTTCTTAAATCAGCAAAGGAAATTTGGGAGGCAGTAGAACAAACGTATTCTAAGGCCAAGGATGCTGCCCAAATTTATGATGTAAAGGTGAAAACTGTGGCTGCCAAACAGGGAAGCAGATCTGTTACAGAATATGCTAATCAACTCAAGTCTCTATGGATGGAATTGGACCACTATCGAGTTATAAAAGCAAAATGTTCAGAAGACTCAGCAATCCTTAAGGAGTATATTGAACAAGATAGAGTCTATGATTTTTTGGTAGGCCTAAATCCTGAATATGACCAGGTCCGAATCCAAATCCTGGGAAAAGAGAAAGTCCCAGGGCTTAATGAAGTGGTAGCCATTATCCGGAGTGAAGAAAGCAGAAGAGGATTGATGCTCGAGACCTCAATAATTGAAAGTTCGGCAATGATAGCTGAAGGAGGAACAATCATGGTTGCTAACCAAAGGAGAAGCGGGGTTCCCAACATGGAGAAAAAACATGAGGATATCTGGTGTACCCACTGTAACAAGCCGCGTCACACAAGGGAGAAGTGCTGGAAATTACATGGGAAACCCCCAAGCCGAGAATAGGGGCCGAAAGGAGGTCCTCCCAAAAAAGGAGGGCAAGGGCAAGCACACATCAGTCATGGACAAAGTGAAGGATCTGGCCAGCTGAATCATGAAGAGATAGAGCGGGTAAGATCCTTCCTTAGTAAATTGGAGAAGCCTACAGGTACATGCTCCTTAACATATTCTGGTAAGTTTCCACTTTCTTTTGGGCTTAATGTTTCAGATACACCATTTACACATTACTGGATATTAGACTCTGGAGCCACTGCCCATATGACCCCTCTACCCAAATATTTCTCCACATATTCCCCATGTCCTAGCAGCAAGAAAATTTCCACAGCAGATGGAACTCTTATGACTGCAGCAGGACAAGGAGAGGTCCAAATAAACCCATCCATAACATTAAAAAATGTCCTTCATGTCCCTAAATTATCCACCAATCTGATTTCTATACAAAAACTCACAAAAGATCTCTCCTGTAATGCTGTTTTTCATAACAACTCTTGTATACTGCAGGACAAGAACTCGGGGAAGACGATTGGACATGCTAGAGAATGGAATGGCCTATACTACATGGAGGATCCTAATCTGCCTACCAATAGCCGCTCTCTCATATCTGAATCCACCATGACCAACATAGAGAAAGTTCAACTATACCATTGCCGGCTAGGACACCCTTCATTTCGAGTTGTAAAAGTGCTTTTCCCTTTCTTGTTTAAAAATTTAAATGTGGAGAGTCTCCACTGTGATGTGTGTGAGTTTGCTAAACACAAGCGTGTACCTTTTCCCATTAGCAATAAGATGAGTCCTTGCCCATTTTTTCTTGTTCACACTGATGTATGGGGTCCTGCTTACGTTCCTAATATCTCAGGTGCTAAATGGTTTTTAACCTTCATAGATGATTGTACCTGGGTGACTTGGGTTTTTCTTTTAAAACAAAAATCTGAAGTTAGCTCTGTGTTTTTTCAGTTTGTCTCAATGATTAAAAATCAATTTGGGGTCGGTATCAAAAGAATTAGGTCTGATAATGCCAAGGATTATTTTAACCTTGTACTAAACTCTTTTTGCCAAAAGGAAGGGATAATCCATGAGTCCTCATGTGTAAACACACCCCAACAGAATGGGATTGCAGAAAGGAAAAATGGGCACCTATTAGATCAAACTAGAGCTCTACTTTTTCAAAACCATGTTCCTAAGAGATTTTGGGGGGAAGCCCTTCTTACTGCCACCTATCTCATCAATAGGTTGCCCACTAAAATCTTAGACTCAAAAAGCCCCATGGAAGTCCTATCCTCATTCTACCCACACTTGGATCCTACAAATAAACTCCAACCTAGAATATTTGGGTGTGTATCCTTTGTGCATGTTCATAGTAACGAAAGGAGGAAATTGGACCCTAGGGCTGTCAAATGTGTATTCTTAGGGTACTCTACCACACAAAAAGGATACAAATGTTTTCACCCCCTATCAAAAAAAATTCTATGTGTCAAGAGATGTCACCTTCAACGAACGAGAGAGCTACTTTGGGCAGCCTCATCTTCAGGGGGAGAATGTAAGAGAGGAAGATGAGACTCTCATGCTTCCAAATATGACATTTGGACCTGAAATTGGGACAAATGGCATTGCTGTCCCTGAAACTGAGAGAACAGCAGGACCTGCACTTGAACCAACAGCAGAACCTGCACATACACCTGTACCTGAACCAACAACAAGACCTGCACCTGAACCTGCACCTAATGGTGGAAAATTTGGGGAAAATCTGGTATATTCAAGGAGAGAAAAGGCCATTCTAGAATCTGGCAATGTCCAAGAGTCCAGCCCATCATCACTGCATGAGGTAACACTTCCGAATCCTATAAATTCCAATGATTCTAATGAGTTTGTTTTTGAAAATTTAGAAGCACAGATGGACCAAAATCTAGACCTACCCATTGCCCTTAGAAAGGGAACTAGAGCATGCACCCAACAACCACTTTACCCACTATCAAATTTCTTATCCTTTGAAAAATTCTCACCTACCCATAAAACCTTCCTCACAAACCTCAACTCCACACACACACCTTCCTCTGTATCTGAAGCATTATCTAATATGAAATGGAAACAAGCCATGGATGTGGAAATGGAGGCGTTAAGCAAGAATAGAACATGGGAACTTGTCACCCTACCAATTGGAAAAAAAACAGTAGGATGCAAGTGGGTATATACAGTAAAGTACAGGGCTGATGGGACCATTGAACGTTACAAGGCAAGATTAGTGGCCAAAGGCTTCACTCAAACCTATGGAATTGATTACTTGGAAACATTTTCCCCGGTTGCTAAGATGAACACGGTCAGAGTAATATTGTCATTAGCAGCAAATTATGGTTGGGACCTGCAACAGTTCGATGTGAAGAATGCTTTTTTACATGGAGACCTTGAAGAAGAAATATACATGGAGTTGCCCCCTGGTTACAATGGACAGGTTGCTGCTGGAACTGTTTGTAAGCTAAGAAAGGCTCTATATGGGCTGAAAAAATCCCCAAGAGCGTGGTTTGGAAGATTCACCAAGGTTATGTTAGGTCTGGGCTACAAACAGAGCCAAGGGGATCACACATTATTTATCAAACATTCAGTTTCAGGGGGAGTAACAATTTTATTGGTGTACGTAGATGATATTATAGTAAGTGGGGATGACAAAAAGGAGCAACAAATGTTAGGTGAATGCCTTGCCACGGAATTCGAGATCAAGACATTAGGGAGACTTAAATATTTTTTGGGAATTGAAGTGGCCCATTCCAAGAAAGGAATCTTCATATCTCAACAAAAGTATATTACTGACTTGCTTAAAGAAACAGGTAAGACAGCCTGTAGACCAGCAAGTACCCCAGTTGATCCAAATATAAAGCTGGGAAGTGCGGAGGAGGATATTGCAGTGGACAAGGAAATGTATCAAAGACTTGTGGGAAGACTTATTTACTTATCTCACACTAGACCAGACATTGCTTTTGCTGTAAGTCTAGTCAGCCAATTTATGCACCAACCAAAGGAAGCACATTTACAAGCTGCTCTTAGAATTGTCCAGTATTTGAAAGGGACCCCAGGAAGAGGGATTTTGTTCAAACGAAACAAGAGTGTAAGTCTTGAAGCATACATGGATGCGGACTATGTGGGGTCAGTGGTAGATAGGAGATCAACTACTGGATACTGCACCTTCCTTGGTGGAAACCTCGTGACTTGGAAGAGCAAAAAACAGAGTGTAGTAGCTAGATCGAGCGCAGAAGCAGAATTTCGAGCAATGGCCCAAGGAATATGTGAACTTCTATGGTTGAAGATTATATTGGAAGACTTGAAGATAAGATGGGATGCACCTATGAGGTTATATTGTGACAACAAATCTGCAATTAATATAGCCCACAACCCGGTGCAGCATGATAGAACTAAACATATCGAGGTTGACAGACACTTTATCAAGGAAAAACTAAACAGTGGCATGATTTGCACACCATATGTATCCACTCAGAATCAACTTGCAGACATACTCACCAAGGGGCTGAACTGCAGTAACTTTGAAAGAATTATATCCAAGCTGGGAATGGAAAACACCTATTCACCAGCTTGAGGGGGAGTGTCAAAACAGTTATTGTCTTTATGTATTTTAGGAAGGTTTATATTTGCAGTAATTCTGTAACAGCTGTATATCTTGCTAATTATTAGGTTTATTTATTTAGGATGAATCCCATAATCACAAGGATTTGTTTCCTTAGAACTAGCTGTCCAATTCCCTAAAATAGACTACAAGCTCATGTATATATACAGGTCCAGTGACCTCATAATAATAGAACAACAATATTATTTATTCTAAATTTGATATCTATGTTGTATGATTGTGACACTGATCCATACACGACATTCAAAGTGTTCCATTACCTCTTTGCTATCAAAAACCTTTTTGGCAAGAGTTGTTTTTCCCTGCCCTCCCATTGCCACCACAGAGATGATAGTGCGCTCTAATCTTCCCTCTGTCAACCAACCAATCAATTCCTTTTTGATTTCTTGAAAGCCTACAACTTCGGCTTCATCAATGTATAAAGAAGCGATTCGAGGGTCGTGGCATTTGGGGATTTGGGTTCCTCTGGAGCTGTTTAATCCTTGTTCAGTTGAAGGTTGGATTTGGAAGCCATACCTTTCACTTCTTTCCTTGATCCCTCGCACATATGACATAACATCGATGGCGAGGGACCATGGTTTTGAGTAAGTGAGCAATCTTATGGAGTATATGTACACATCCACGATCATGCTGTTGTCCCACTTGGATCAAATAATCATCAATGGTATCTTCAATGCGAAAAGCTGCTTCCCTAACTTGCTTCGCCGATGTTTTGACTCCTTCATTAGCACTGTCTCCTTCTGCAACTGCAGCTCTCTTATCAGCATCTTTAAGGAATGCTTGAATGCTTTCAAGTTCATCTTTAAGGTCAGCAAATCCCTTGTGAATGCTTCTCAACAACTTGGTTTCTTCCCTCAACAGCGGAAGCAGTTGATCAAGAGCAAAAGACACGGCCATTTCCGCCATTTGAGTTAAGTTGTGATTATTGCTGTTTTGTGGTATGAATGATTATTGCAATCTGTGATCGGTGGATCTGGAACTGACTGTTTTACGCTGGTTCGCGAAATGTCGCGGAAGCAAGAGTCGCCACCGTCTTTTATTTTCTCCAAATGGAAAGGACAAAAGCACAGAAAAATTCCTTATAGAGATTGCTCTCGGTTCGGGAGGTAGGTTATAGAAAGGGAAGGTGTTAGCACCCTTTCTATCCATGGTTATCCATGGGCTCTTAGATACTTTCTCATTTGTGTTTTCAAAAATGGTTTGTTTGCTTTTCAACTGTGGGTTTTAAAAAGTTTCTTTGAAAATTCCAGTTCGACTCTTGTATCGGTCCTCAAGAGTGTTTGAAAAATTGCTTTCGAAAGCTTTTTGAAAAGGTGTCGGTGTGAAAAGTATTTTTGAATTTGTTTTTGAAATTAGAGAAAGTATCTACGAGAACCTACCTACCCTAAGGAATTCGTCTGTGTAAATGTCCTTTAAAGTAGTGCCATCCCACCATTGAGAGGTAGGTAGCACCACCGTTGGAGGTGTTCGGGTCAATTCGAGGTTCGGGACATGGTGATCACCAGAGCAATGGGAAGACACCTTAGAAGCTACCCTCATGCCAGGTTCCCGGATCATGAGGACTTACTAAAACATCCTCTACTCGACGATCACCTTTCGAGGCAAGGCAACAGTGAGGCGTACCCTAGGGGTGGTGTGTGATTTGTGTGTCATGTTCAGTTATTTTGTCTTATTCATGTCAAGGTGATCTATGCTTGTTTTTATTTTGTTCATACATTCTTTCATGCTTTTGATTTAGCAGTTAAAATATTTGCGGGAAAGTAAAGATCTAAAGCTATTACAAAAGGCGCGGGTCCACATCGCCAAAATTAACCAGGACCCGATTTGACAGAAAATAAATAAAGTAAAAGAATTCAAAATGCAAGAAATTGAAAGGTTACATGGCCTTGGGAGAGATACAAAATATTATAAAGAGATAAAAATAAATGCGAATTAATAAGATTTAAACGAAACGAGGGCGTTGGACCCTTTTGCAAAATTAAATTACATGATGAAATTAATTAATATTAAAAGAAAGAAAGGACTTGTTTTTGGTGTTTTTTAATGTTTTAGGATTTAATAGAAAAAAAATTAATTGCAATTAAACGCTAACCCTAATTCTATTTTATTTTAATTTATTAAGAAGACGTTAAAATTTAACCTAAATTAAACCTAATTTTTATATTCAATTTAATTCATGAAAATAAATATTTAATTATTTTAATTATTATAAAAGAAAAATAAAAAGGATGAAAAATTGTTAATTAAACCCTAGTTCTACATTTTTTGATTTATTATTTAAAAGAATTAAAATTAACTCCTAATTTAAAACTAATTTTATTTACATGCAAATTTATTTATGAAAATACTACAAATAGAAATATTCATTATTTTAATTCTTTTTTCTGATTTTTATGTATATTTTTATATTTATGAAAATAATTAGTTAATTAATAAAACAACAATAAAAAAAATAACTAGAAATAATAATACAAAAAAAATAAAGAAGAAACAAAAATATGCAAACCTGGGGGTTCAGACCCCAATATGGAGGTATAGCCCAAGCAGTTTAAGCCCAATTCAATTCCTGGCTTTGTGGACTTTTTCACTCACGTGCAGGGGCGTTGACTCATGTGCATTGTGTTCCTCAATTCTGAGCCTTGTGATTATTGAAGCTGGGCACGTGGACGCTTGATTTAGGAAGATGTACGATGCGCTCCACTTTTGAAACTGCATATGAACATGTATTGCAAAATAATATGGAAATAACGTAGACCTGGGGCTCGAACCCAGGTCATATACATTGCCAACGTTCTCGCTTACCAACTGCGCCAACTAACGCGTTTGATTAATAAGCAACTAACAATCATTATAAGAATAAAACAAAAGGTTAATGGATCCACGCGCGAAAATTCAAACCAGCTTATCACGTTTTGCCACGACTTCGTCTTCTTCATGTTCCTGAAAACATAAAAGAACAGGCAACGGTTTTCATGACGTTCTCTTAGGCCGTTTTTGGGAAAATAGCGATTAGGCCTATAGTGTTCATAAATTGAGCGCGAGTGTTGGTTTCTACTCGTCCAAACACGTTGAATCCAATGGTCTTGGTCTCAGCCTCCAATTTTGCCTTATTTCAAAAGCCCTAATTCTAAGGTTGAAGAACCCTAAATATCAACAATGGCATAATCGCGTGTATAGCTCAAAAACACAATTGAATACATGGGTTAGCTTCAGAATCAAATGAGGAATAAGAATCAATAATTGAGATGCCATAAAAATGCATAGATTTCAAAGTACGATTATGAATTTTCCATGAAATATCTTGAATGCTGTATACCAATTCCTTGCGTTTGGATGGTTGTTTTTTATTGGAATATGTCCAGTGACCTTCAAGGAAGCTGATGGAACAAGAATTATGTCTTGAATCGCCCTGGAAGTGAACTTTCAGTTTTGACTTTTTTAGAGAAAATTTCAAGTTCTTTTGATGCCTTTCTGCGCAGCTCTGTGTGTTCTTGCACTAGGGTTGTGTTCAGGCTTTTGTATTGAGTCCATTAGGTCAAGAAAAATCAATCAAATCCATTGCATTCATTGATTTTGGAAATTTGATTTTCTAAGATTTTTTCCAATCTTTTTTCATGTGTTTTTGGTTCAAATCATCTCCAATCTCTCCAAATCTTTCCTTATCTGTATATACACGAAATCTTGAGGCTAAAACATGTATAAAAAGATTTGTTAGGTTAAGTTAAATATTTTTCACATATTTAATTGATTTAAGTGAATTATTATAAATAAAAATTCAAATAAATAAATAAAAAATGAGAAAATACTTCCCTTTGGGCCAAGTGGTCGTGCACATGCCATGGATGATGAATTATGGAAGAAAAATAGGCCCATTAGCAATTTTAGGTCATTTGAATCAATGTTGACTTTTCAAAATATCCAAAAATTTCCCAACTTCCACAAGGCATAACTTGCTCAATTTTTAAGCTTTTCTCATGTTCTTGGACATTTTGGAAAGGTCTTTGAGTCCTCTAACCAATGTCTTTGGTCCCATGTCATTTTGATTTACCAATCTCAAGTTATGGCCTTTGACTTAAAGTCCCTTTTTGTTGACTTTTGAAAATGACCTATAATGTTGAAATTGATAACTTTTTGTGAGAGAATTTCTTGGACTTGAAGTATGAAGATGAGTTGTAGGAAATGTCTTTCTCTTCAAAATGAGCTTTGGATGGAATTTTTCTGATAATCCATGTGAAAGTTATGCCCTGGTCAATTTCAGTTGACTTTTTCAACTGTCCAAATAAGGAAACTTTTGCATCTTGATGATTTTTGAGCCAAACTTTGAGAGTCATGATCAAGCATTGATCAAATGATGTTTGTGGCTTCAAAATGATATGTTGACCAAAAATTTGAACTTTTGACTGTCAAATGACCATTTTGCCCCTACAGTTGACTGTAGTGCAATTTAGGGTTTTGACTGTGCAACTTTGAGCTGAATGTCTTGAAACTTGATATGAGGATGCTTGACCATGTTTATAGGCATGTGAGACTTGTTTGGACCTTTGAAAACTTCATTTTCTTGATCAGAACACAAACCCTAATCTTGACTGTTTAGGAGACCTTTGCACTGTGCAACCCTTGGGAAACTTTGAGACTTGATTTGGCAATTTCTTGAAGAATATGGGAGGACAAATTTTGGGGTACAACACAATGTTGAGTTTTTCTTTCTCATGCGGCATATATATATGTTAATAAGAAAAGCTTGTGAATTGGTTAACAATATAGGAATGTGTTAAGCGTGTCATTTGGAGTACACAGGGAAATAGAGTGTTGCTTCCTGCAAATGAAAAGACTTCCGATTCAAAAAGATTCACATGGCTGTTGTTTGTAACGAGTACGGCGGAATTGTAGGAGTAAGTCAACATCATATTGGAACTCAACTAGCTTAGATCTATGTGATTTACATAAAATAAAACTAGATATAGACCTGCGAATTGCACAAGTGCTTTATTTGGAGAGAAAAAACATGATGTTTAGATAAGTGTAGAATAGTCAATCTTCTCGTGTTGGTGGTTGTGGCTGCATTTCACAATGTTGGTTTATGAGTTAGGTGAAATAAATCTTTTTTTGCATGGCTTAATTGAAAGTGAGGGTTAAATCTTAGATAAGTTTAATTAGAATGTAGATAACTCTTAGGTCATCTGAAATCTATTTTATGTTCTCTGTCTAAGTTCTAACAATTTTATAAACTTACAAGGATAGAATATGATGTCTTTTTTACACTTCCCTTTTACAGATTGTAACTCTGGAAGATATCTTTGAGGAATTTGTTGGTGAAATCTTCGACGAAAAGGACTCAAAGGTAAAAATTGGAATATATGCTTGCTTGCGCTTTTTCTTTTCTTTCTTTGTTTGTTTATATGAATTCGATTTTTAAATAATAGAACTGTATATCAAAATTAAGAGGATTTGGATTTGACAGGAAGAGATCCAGAAGAAAACTGGATGTATAGTAATCCAAGAGGAGGGTATATTTGATGTGAATGCAAACACATCTATTGATCAGCTCTCGGAAGATTTGAATATCAAAATACCCGAGGTTCGTTATTTTATTTACACAACTTAAATATTTCTCATAAAGGAAATTACGAATATTTGGATAGAGACAGTGATTTCATAGTGAATTTATCTGTGTATGGAACTCATGAATTGTTTATCTGTTTAAGAATTACATTCCTCTTAATATTCATTTTCCATCAACAATTACAGCACCACCAATATGAGACAGTATCGGGTTTTGTATGTGAAACTTTTGGTTACATCCCTATTGCACAAGAAAGCATTGAAGTGATTTTTGAAAGAAAAAATGAAGATAATGTTAGTAGAGCTATCTTAAGTTTCCCTTCTACGTTTAGTTTTTAAGTCTGTTTATTGTACTGATCATAAGCAATTCTAGTGCTTCAATCAATATATTTCTGCTTTACCTACCCAAACAGAAACATTAGTTCTTTAAACTCTTCTTTCAGGTTTTCACCTCTTAAACACTTAGTTCCTACCACCAATTGATATATTTGATAAATACTAGTGTCTTACAAAAAAACAGTTAAGCATTCAAGTTGGCACTGATTGATCCCATTGAAATTTGGTCTTAGTCTCGATATAGTTTGAGAACAGTTTTGAAACAGCACGTGTTTGCTATGGCTTTTTATGCTAACAATGCTAGAGCTAAAGGGTCAATCCTCTACATAGGAGCTAACACTTTCCTCATCAACAATGACAATAATAGGTAACATTTAGAAACTAAGTTACACAAATTCAAGCATTTTCCTACAAGTAAATAGCTATATACTCACTGGTATTTATTTGTATATGTAAAAGAACTTCTTTAAATATACAGTTATGATACCAAGACTGTTTCTACCAATTCTCGTGACAACACAAATCTATGCTAGGGAGTAAAACTGATACACGGTAAAAGACTGAAAAACTATTTTGCAAGAGCAATGAGATCAAAACATACATGTGCGACTATTAAACATGATCAGGGTTCCAAATGAGCTGCTCAACACTCGTTCTACGTAAAGATCTAGTCATATGCTCGTTTGATGCACGAATACTGATTAGTCTATTCTGCAAATTCCTGAACGAAGGAACATTAACTACATGAGATACTCTATCACGGTATAACGGTTCTTCATGAAAATTGGAGAGAGCCTCAACAACATTATCCCTTAGTTCCTCGGTCTCGTTGAGTAGCAAGTCAATGAGAATCGGAATTGCCCCAGCATCGGCAAGGGCCGTTCTACCAGCTTCATCATAGCTTAGTTGAGCAAATGCCCCCGAAACGTTCAACTTTATTTCTTCACTCCCATGGACCAAAAGTTCAACAAGGATGAGGATCGCGCCTGAATCCCGAATCACAGAAATTGCGTGCTTGTATCCCGATAAATCCCATATCACATCAGCAGTTGCTGCTTTAGCTTCATCGTCACCTTCTCTAAGAATTCTCACCAAGTGACCAACAATTTCAACAGCATTAGCCTCAGCAACACCCAATATACAAAACACATCCTCCGCTATCTCCTTACCAGAAGCATCACCTCCTTGAAGAAGCTCGGCGTAAAGAGGAATAGCCCCAGCTTGAGCAACTGGTCTAATGTAATCAACATGAGCCGATACTACACCGAGAGTATTACCAGCTACAACCTTCAAACCGTTATCTCCAACGCGAAACAACTCTACAAGCACCGGTATAACTCCTAAGTCAACAAGTGTATGCCTAGCCTGTCTCGTAACTCCAATTAATCCAATCGACTGGCACGCTCTCTCCCTAGAAACCATGCTACCAACACCAGCAGCCTCTACAATAAAACGAAGACCTCCTAACCTTACAAGTTCCTTCCTAACTTCCCTCCGAAGCGCCAACGCACTCAAAATCTCTAACAAATACAATCTAACATCACTGCTACAAGTATTCAACAAACAGATTACAATTTCTAATCCGCCATTAGCTGCAACAACTGTCCTACTTGTCTTACAAAAAATAACAACAACCAACAAACATTTTATCAGAACTTTCTGCATTTTTCCCTCGGCACGAGGCAACAACCTCATCAAAGAATGTGCAACACCAAGTCTACCCATTTCAACTGCCATACTACCATCACCTCTGCAAGCAATGCACTTCAAACAACAAGCAGCAGCTTCTTGAAGTAAATTAGGAAGAGAATGACTTTCAGTGTTACCATGATCAAGAATCTGAATGAGAAACGGTATGGTGTTGGATAATACATGTTCAGGAGCTTGTTTGGAGTAATTGAGCAGCTTAATCATAGCTTTTACTTTCATAGATTTGGTTCCTGAAGCTATAACATTCTCATACTTGCTTAATTCAACTTCCCAATTAGGGTTCTCAGTTTTACTACTTTCACCCACTTCCATAATTTTCTTCAAATCTCTTGATTGACTAATTCAGAAAATTCAAACCTAATTCAATTCAATGAGCAAAACATTTAAAAAACATTATTGAGAATATTCTAAAATAACAAAATCAAACCCCATCTAGAAAAATAAAAAATAAGAAACAGTATTCTGCATCGATGTATGTATAGAAAATACCAAGCTTAAATACCATTTTGGGAAAAGTGAGTGAATTGGAAAAAAAGAGAGAGAATGTGAAACAGTACCTCTGAAGAATCAAAACTTTGGCTGAAAAAAAAAAAAGTCGCGCAACGCCCAAACTCAAGGATTGGTGGCTTAGTTTCCGTTTTAGGGAGCAAATTTCATCATGACTCAAGGATCGGTAGCTAGTAAGAAAATAAATGTATAATGGGATGGTGAAAAAATTATTTAATGTCTAATAAGTATAAAGGATGGAAAGTGAGATAAATTAATTGATGTTAAAAACATTTAATATATTGAATGAATAGGAGTGTGTGACATATAATATTTTGTAAAATTTTATTTATTGTTGTGATTGTTTAGATTTTTAATTCAACTTAATTATTTGAAATATATTATTTTATAATAAATAAATTTTTTATTTATTTTTATTTTTAGTAAAATTTATTTTTTTGTCTATAAATAAATATTTGATTTGGACATAAAAAAAAATCCATTTTTTATCTTTATTTTTTCTATTTAACTTTCAATAAACTTTTATTTTATTTATTTTTATTTATTTTAATGGTTAAATATAAAACCTCAAGTAATATTAGCGAGATTTATTTTTACTCTTTGATAAAAAAAAAATTGTAATTGGAAATGCTGATTCTAATTTATTCTATTTTTTAATAGTTCCGATTATATAGTTATTCTAGAATCATTTATTTTAGGAGAGTCAACTGTATAGTTTTATGAAGAGAGATCGTAGAAGAAATTGTAGGAGAAATCTTAGAGCATCCACATCCATCATATCTATTTGGGTTCTTTAAATAAGACTCACATAATTTTTTATATTATTTCACACTTCTCAATTTTTTAAACAACCCATCTACAATTTTCAAATATCCATGTAACTCATCAAAAAATCTAAAATAGGTCCCACACTTAAAACAAATCAACTACATTCTTGCAATTTTATTTATTAATTTATTATCATGACTCACTTAATTAGAGTGTAGAAACGTGCTTTAGTATGATGACGTGGTTTCTTTCAGGAAAGTGAAAACAAGTGAAATATTCATTTATTATTGACACAATTTCTTTAATAAATGTGTAGGAACTCTCAAAAAACACCGATAATCATGCTCTTAGTTGGTGATCAGAAGAGCTTGTGTATATATTAATCTATCATTTGTGAATAAAGGGAGACACAGAAAATTCTACCCACTGTTCTTAGGATCATATTGTCTCTCATCAGAAATCTATCTATTTCTTAAGAAATTAAGTACATAATCTTTTTGATATGACATTCGCTTAAATTCCTTTAAGGTTATTTAAACTTGTTTTCACTCTGGGTCTAGGATAAACTTAATTTAAATTAATTCAAACAAATGTTCACTTTTTTCTATACCATACCATAGTCACACGATTCACAGGTACCTACAGTCACACAATTCATAGGTATTTCTGCAAACTCCAAATTGGTTCGCGCGTACCAATTCACTATAACTTTTACAAATTGGTTCATACAAATTCGTCTGAAATTCGTATAAAATGAAGTACCTATGAACCAAATATAAATTTCAAATATAAATGACATAATGTTTATCAAATAAACTAAAAATTATAAAAATAAAATTTTAACTAATTTTTTAATTATGATAACGTCTGAATCACTTTCATAAAAGTGAATATTAATAATCGTATTAAATTAATATTAAAACTTAGGTAAATTAATATTAGAGTTGTAAGTATACATTAAATATTTATAACTGATTTTTCAAAGCAATATTAGTAATGTAGTTGACTTGGGACTACAAAGTTATTCTCCCAACCATTTTTCTTCTAAATAAGTCATTTCTTTAATAATAACGTACCGATTATTATATTTGAATGTACCACGAACCCAAATAGCATACCGATTATGTATACCCCTCGCGTACCTAATTCTATGAGAGTTACGAATCGCGTATCCGAATTCGTACTACGTACCGAAGCGAATTGTGAACCATGTGCCAATGGATTAGGCTTTGGTAATGCTTACAAAACATATATTATTCTTAAATTTTGCACCCTTCTTTCAAACTTATAACTTCTAGTCTATTTAATTTGTGTTCAGTCTCAGCTCTCAACTTCCAAAACCAGTGTTTGACCTCCTTGTGTATTCTGCAACTAGTTGAGCGAGAGATGAAGATTTGTTCTTAAGCAACTTCTTTGGTGAATCATATTCCTCAATAAGTCCTGTAGGATCATTAGGAAGAAAATGATGGTCACAATTATGAGTAGTAACAACTAGGGAAGGGACAAAAACAGGTTCTTACCTTCACTGAGAAACAGAACCATGTCGCTATCAAGGATTGAAGTTATTCTATGAGCAATGGTAATGACTGTGCAATCAGAGAAATGTTGTTTAACTGTCTGCTGAATAATATTATCTGTAGCTGTATCAACTGATGCAGTTGCTTCATCAAGTACTAATATCTTGCTTTTCTTAAGTAAAACACGGCCGAGGCAAACCAACTGTCTTTGACCCATGCTCCAGTTTTCTCCATTCTCACTAACTGCAGATCTCATAATGGATAGAATTGACTTCTAATATGGAATAGAGGGAGTATATATGTGCTTAAAATTTTGAGAAGTCGAACCTGTTGAGTCGAGCTTTCCTTCTTTCTTCCTCACTTCATCTCCTAGTTGGCACATATCTAAAGCCTAAAACATTTCATTAGACATATTAATTTATAAAGCTTGCCGTAAAGGGATAGGTTATTTCTTGAATTCTAGCAAAACCAATTTACCTCCCAAATTTGTTCATCTGTGTACTCTTCCAGCGGGTCGAGGTTGCTCCTTACAGTCCCTTCAAACATTGTTGGATCCTGAGGAATTATGCTCAGTCTGGACCGTAAATCATGGATTCCAATCAATGAGATGTTGATGTTATCTATCAATATTTGTCCTGAGATAGGCTCAACAAGTCTGAAAAGTGCTTGCACTAGTGTTGATTTTCCACTTCCAGTTCTTCCAACAATGCCAGTTTTTGCTCCAGCAGTAAAAGTGCATGTAAGTCCGTGTAAAACAACAGGCAGGTGAGGAGCATATTGAACCTGTACAATGCATTATTTAAAGATAGCTGCAAACTAAAGTACCTTGAGACACTTGTTTGGATAAACAACTAAATTAAGTGCTTATACAGTAAGCACTTATCATATAATTTTACAAATATGATCTATATGACAGTAACTTTCAATCTACCAATAGGTTTTGATATCATTTAAATTGTTATTGAACGGTGTAGTACCTGTAAATCCTGGATATGAACCTCTCCGAATGATGGCCAAGAATGATCTGGTTGATTGTCTTTTATAACAAGAGGTGCTTCACTTGGGATGGAGGTGTACTGAAGTATTCTTTCTACAGATATAATTTTGTTCTCCAAATTGCAAAGAAACCGAACTAAATCAGCTTGTATAGCATTTAGATTAATCCCATATGTCACAGCCAATCCCGCAATACCTGGAAAGGATTGAAGTTTTATGCCTATGTCGCGATTCACGATGAGCATGCGTGTCTAGTAAATGCATACAAATTAAAATTGAAATACTCACTAGGATCAGCAATTGAACTTGGAAAAGATACCAATAAAATCAAGAAGAAGGCAAATATGGTAAAGGATAAAAGATCCAATCTTAAATCCAACCATTGCATTGCACTAGCACTGTATAATTTAGGTTGGGAATATTTGTCTATCAATTGCATATTCATTTCATTGAATCTTGATTCTTGCTCAAAACTTCTTATGGTTGTTGATCCAGAAATTGTTTCAGAAAAGTGTTGTATAACTGGAGCTTGACATATACCAATTAATCGTGCCAATTCCCGTGCTGATGCTGAGTAGTATCGCTGCATATATAGAAACGTTAACTACTTTTTTCCCACTAATATAACGTAGTTATTTACAATGATATTTTAGTAAATGAAATTTTATCATAAAAGCTAGTACACTTGATGATTTTCTTAAAAAAATGCACAGAATCTTGAACAACACTTAATATGAGACGGAGTGAGTACCTGGAACCAAATGTAACCTGCCATTACAGGAATCAATACTATGAACACCTGCCATGCTGCTTGAGATATCACGGCAATACTTCCCAATAGCTGAACCATATTGTAGGTGAAACCCCATACTAGATTTGAAATGTTCGTATCTACTGCACTTTGGTCTGACGAAGCCTAAAAAAAGGGTAAAGTTAAAATTTAATCGGTTTCCAAAATATAAATTATTGACATATTATGGCATACTCTATTAAGAATTCTTCCACTTGGGGTTGAATCAAAAAATGACATCGGTGCTCGAATGAAGCTGAAATGCATTTGATTGAAGAGAATGGTGGCAGTCTTGTATCCAGCTATCACAGCAAGAACTGCTCTGCCAAGAGTGGCAAAGGAACTTCCAATAGCCAAAGAAACATAGACAACCATCAGAGTAAGGTTTCCAATAGCAGGTTCTTCAGTTGCAGAAACAGGAGTTGCCAAAGCCATCCAATAATTGCTTGCGATTTGTAAAACCACAGTGAGTATCTGTGAAAGCAATAGGAAAGGTACAAGAGCTCCTCCATAAGCTGTTGTAATGTATTTCCAAAACAATTTAAACCCAACACTACCCTTTTCACTTTCTTCGTCTTGAACAAGTTGGCCTTTCGGCACAATCGTTTCATCTAACTTGTCGTTTGGATCATCTACTTTTTCGGTTTCTTGCTCAAGTTCAAAATCAATTAATGAACTTATGTCTTCTCCGGATGTTTTGAACGTAGGCCTTCTCTCTAAGGACTTAACTGAAGACAACGCTGCTCTATGTGCACCTACAAGTTCCATAAAATCGGTTCCTGACGTAAGAATGTCGTTGTATTTTCCTGATTGAGTTATCCTTCCTTCTTTCATTACCTAAATGAATTGTAAGAACGAGAAAAATACACAGAAAATGGTAAGCTCTAATGTTTGATACTTTGAATTAAGGAGCATGATGAAATACATAAAATACTCACAAGAATCAGATCAGCATCAGGTAAGAACTCTACTTGATGAGTTATGTATATCACAGTTTTTGTTTTCAAAAGGCCAAGCAAACACTCCTGAAACATTACAGTATTAGTCAATGTACAGTTAGATACAAACCTTTCCATCAAAATGCATAACAAAACAGATTGTAGTGAAAGCAAGTGAGTTTAGAAAATAGTACCTTAAAGATATGAGATCCTGTATGAGCATCAACAGCACTAAAGGGATCATCGAGAAGATATATATCGGCATCTTGGTAAAGTGCACGCGCTATTTGTACTCTTTGCTTCTGTCCACCACTCAAATTGATTCCCTTCTCTCCAATAATGGTTTGATCACCAAATGGTAAAACCTCTAAATCTTTCTTCAACGAACATGCTTCTAGCACCTTCTCATACTTTTCCCTATCCATCTCTCTCCCAAACAGTATGTTCTCTTCTATCTTTCCACTCTGAATCCATGGTGATTGCGCAACATAAGCCTTTGTTCCACACACCTTCAAGTTACCAGATATCTTTGGTATTTCACCTATTATACAAGAAAGTAAACTCGACTTGCCTGATCCAACAGTACCACAAACAGCAACCCTCATACCATGACAAACTCTAAGGTTTATGTTTTTCAAAGTTGCATTGACAGAAGAAAAATCCCAAGAGAAATTTCCATCTACCATTTCAACTGCTATATCAGAACTACCTTGCGGAAGCTTCTCCACTACATCAGTCTGCAAATCATCTAGACGAAGAAAACTGACAATCCTATCAAGGGAAACTTTGGTTTGAGCAATCATTGAAATTGTGTCAGGAATATTATAGATAGGCATTTGAAGAATTTCGAATGTTGCAAGAGCAGATAAGATCTTGCCTGATTCAAGTGGAATTCCTAGAAGAACACAAGTACCGAAAGTGACCACAGCAATAAAAGTTGGTGCGTTAAAGAAGAGAAATCTTATAATTGCACTACCAATAAGAAATTTTTTTAGCCATGTCTCCTCTAACTTCCTAAGCTGAATAATCTTTGATAAGAACTTCATCTCCCATGCCTGCAGTTTGAGAATCCTCATGTTCATTAGAATCTCAGACGTGGCCTTCATTCTTTTATCTTTGAATTCCATTAACTTACCTTGATACTTCTCTTGCAGTGATGCCACAGGAAGGTTTAGCAACATCACCATTACAGTTGCAGCGAAAGTAGCTACTGAAGCAACCCCGACACTTCTATGAAGAAGAAACAAAGCCAAAGAAAGTTGTAGAGCGGCCATCCATGGATCATGCAAATACCAAGAAAAATGACCTATCCTTTGAGCATCAACAGTCATTAAGTTGATGATTTCGCCAGTGCTATGTCCATCTTTTGATTGACACGACAGTGTCAAACCTTTAGCATAGATCATTGACACCATCATTGCTTGCATCCTAACACCTACCTGTTGATGCGTAAACATCCAGTGCCTTACCGAAAGACACTCAACAAGCTTTGCCGCAACAAAGGTCGTAGCCAAAACATAGCCTTCATTTTGAACCTTGTTTTCATCATTGAAATATTGAACAAGGTCTTCAATAAGGTAGGGTCCTACATAACTAGCACATACGCACAAGGATACAAATAAGCCAGATATGAGAATCCCTTTCCATGTTGATAAGAACAGCACCTTGACGAGCTTAATAGTTGTCACAGTCCTAACATTACCACACTCCAACTCAAGCTTTTTTCTAAAAGTTGAAAAAGATCCATAGGCAGTGTCATTGGCAGAAAGAAGAGGAAGGTCTTGATGGTTTAAAGTCTTTTTACTCCCTAATGTTATAAGTGGAGTCAGCCATGAGAAAGTGAGAATGCTGAAAAATCCAGCCTTTGAATAACTGTTTAAAATTTCATTTTCTTCTGCCTTTTTGGAAACAGAATTGTTGTTGCTTACACTAGCTTCACCCTTCAAAAGGGACTCTTCAAGAGCATCTTTAGTCATATTGTTAAGAGAACTTCCAACATTAGAAACAAAGAAACCTGTAATAAATGAAACTTTATAAAAAACATGTTGGTGCACAAGGTTAAAGATGAAGACGAAAATGGAAGAAGAGAGAGAAAGAGAAGAGAGAGAAACACTGTTATAACAAACTTTAAGAGAGAAACTCTTTTCACTGCATTGATGAAAACTAACTACAAACTTGTTTAAATACACAACAAAATCAAATGTCACGTAGACAAAACTAAAGTTAACAATAAAGCTAAACTGCCACGTGGACAAACTACTACTAAATCCAGAAGTTTAGACACAACTTCTGAAACAACAACGCAACCTCAGAAGCTTCTGCTTCTGAGTCAAAACACCTTCTGATCATTACCTTCTGAACATGAACTACTTCTAACACCATCTCTTAATTTATGTTCAACTAACCAAAATCTACAACACTAATTTCATTCCTCAAATGGACAAAGTTTTCAGTTATGATAGCTTTCGTCAAAATATCTGCAAGTTGTTTCTGGGTGCTACAGTGAACAACTTTTAGCATTACATTTTAGACTTGATTCCTTAGAAAATGGAACTTCGTGTCAATGTGTTTGTTTCTCCCATGCAACACTAGGTTCTTGGCAAGGCTTATGAAAAATTTGTTGTCTCATCAATTTCACAGGTTTGCCCACCTTAATCTTCAGATCCTACAACAAATTCACCAGCCAAACAGCTTGACACACAGTTAAAGCACTTGCAATGTATTCAGCTTCACAAGTTGACAAAGCATTCACAGGTTGCTTCTTGTAGCACCAAGAAATAGAACTTCCTAGATAGTTGAAACATATCTAGAAGTACTTCTTCTGTCAACTTTGTCTCCACACCAATCAGAATCTGAATAGCATATCAACTATGCGTTAGTTTTAACACCAGAACGGAACAACACTTCATACCTCGGAGTCCCTTTAATGTACCTTAGTATCCTGACAATAGCTTGGTAATGTGACCACTTTGGTTTGCTCATAAACTCACTCACTCTTCCAACCGCATAACAAATGTCAGGTCTGGTGTTACACAAACACCTCAATGAGCCAACCAACTATTAAAATTTGTAGCATCTACATCACCACCCTCAACATTACAATCCAGCTTGTGATTCGTCTCAGCAGGTATGATTGTAGTCTTATAATTTGTTAACTCAGCTTCACAAGTTGACAAAGCATTCACAGGTTGCTTCTTGTAGCACCAAGAAATAGAACTTCCTAGATAGTTGAAACATATCTAGAAGTACTTCTTCTGTCAACTTTGTCTCCACACCAATCAGAATCTGAATAGCATATCAACTATGCGTCAGTTTTAACACCAGAACGGAACAACACTTCATACCTCGGAGTCCCTTTAATGTACCTTAGTATCCTGACAATAGCTTGGTAATGTGACCACTTTGGTTTGCTCATAAACTTACTCACTCTTCCAACCGCATAACAAATGTCAGGTCTGGTGTTACACAAACACCTCAATGAGCCAACCAACTATTAAAATTTGTAGCATCTACATCACCACCCTCAACATTACAATCCAGATTATGATTCGTCTCAGCAGGTATGATTGTAGTCTTATAATTTGTTAACTCAGATCTCTTTAGAAGCTCAAGTTCATACTTAAGCTGATGCAAAATTATACCCTTTTTAGAATACATAATCGTCATCCCTATAAAATATACCATATTTCCCAGATTAGTCATCTAAAACTCATTCATCAACACATTCTTGAACTTGACTATCTCTTCTAGACAGATCCCTGTTAGTAATATGTCATCAACATAGACACACACGAAAATCATATTGCTTCTAAAAGTATGCTGAACATAAACGTTATACTCCATCTCACACTTTCTGAATCCTTGCAGCTTGAAAAATGAATCAATTTTCAGATTCCAAGCTCTAGGAGCTTGTTTGAATCCATACAACACTTTATGTAACATGTACACCATCCCTTCTTAGTTCTTTTTCACAAATCCAGGAGGTTGTGACACATACACTTCTTCTTGTAATGGACCGTTCAGAAATGCAGATTTCACATCCAGATGCATTAGAGGCCAATTTCTATTAGCAATTACAACAATCACCAATCTAATTCTTTCATGCCTAGATACAGACGCAAACACTTCAAATTCAAAGTAATTTAATCCAAATTTCTGTAGAAATCCTCTTGCTACTAACCTTTCTTTATGTTTTCTAATTAATCCATTTGACTTTAACTTCACCTTGAAAACCCATATGACATTGTTGACTTTCTTCTCCTCTGAAAGTCCAATCAACTCCCAAGTCTTGTTTCTTTCTATAGCCTCAAGTTATTTTTTCATGGTCTTCAGTCACACTTTCTTCTTAAGAGATTCTTCACTAATCACTGGTACAAAGTCTACTAACATGATACACTGAACGACTTCTCCCTTAGAGTCTACTTCAGTATCTTGTAACATGCCAAACTCTGTGAATCTTCTTGGTATTTATCTAATTCTATGTGGCTTATGGACTTGTTAATAATCTCCTTCTGATTCTCAAACAGTATCAGATATTACACTACCTCAAGAAGTTGGACCACCTCCATAAGCATGACCACGAGAGACTTAACCACCAGATTTAGGATCATCATCAGAATTTGGATCAGAATCAGATTCACCTTCAGAATCATAATCATCTTCTGACTCTAACTCATCTTTTGAATCTTCAGATTCTGAACTATCTTCAGAAGTTACCTCTGGTGTTGAAACTACACCAAAGTTGGATTGAGATTTTCTCCAATCACATGCTTCTGACTTCTTCACAATGACGTCTCTACTAACTTCAACCTTATTAGTGACTGGACAATAAATCTTGTACGCACCTGTATTGTGGTACCCAATCAGCAAAATTACTTTGTTTCTATCATCTAGCTTCTTTCTCTTAGCATCTGTAACATGTTTATAACAAACTAAACCAAATACTTTGAGATGACTCACTATTTTCTTATCTCTAGTCCACATCTCTAAAGGAATAGTTTCCTTCAGCTTGTTTGTTGAACACCACTTGAGCACATACGCTGAAGTGACAACAACTTTTCCCCACTAGGTGCGAGGCAGATTCTTCTCTTTCAGCATGCTCCTTGTCATATCAAGTAAAGTTCTACTTTTTCTTTCAGCAAGACTATTGTGTTGAGGATTGTATGGAGAAGTAACCTCATGCTTAATTTTATTTTCTTCACAGAACTTCTGAAACTCTATAGAGTTACACTCACCTCCACCGTTCGTTATGAGAACTTTCAACCTCTGACCACTCTGTTTCTCAATCTTCACCTTGAACTTTTGAAACTCGGTAAATACCTCATGCTTAAACTTGATGAGTGCTACCCATGTCATCCTTGTGAACTCATCCATAAACGACACAAAAGATTTGTTTCCTCCAAGTGAAGGTATTGGAAATGGTCCATATACATCATAATGCACTACTCCTAAAGCATGCTTTGCTCTTGGGGCTACATCTGACGCAAATGTCAATTTGGATTACTTGTCTTTCATGAATATCTCACATGACTTCTCAGGCTTCACAATATTAGGAATGTCAGGTACTAGCTTCTTAGAACTCAAATGCCCTAAACTTCTAAAGTTCAGATGCTCTAATCTCTTATGCCACAACTCACTGTCACCTTCGTTGCCTTCTACACTAAGGCATTTATTTTCAGTTGTCTCCACATTCACCTTGAATGTTCTGTTGCTTTCCTTCTCAGATTACATAATCAGCTTCTGATTGCAGTCATACAACTCCAACAGATTGTTCTTCATGATAACTGAGAAACCTTTCTCAATAAGCTGACCTACACTCATCAAATTACTCTTCATACCAGGAACATACCAAACATCATTGATCAGAACAAACAGTTTTTCCATTCTTCACTCTGATTTTGACATTTCCTGTACCTTCTGCATTAAGGTATTTATCATTAGCACATCTGATCTTTGTCCCCTTCCTAGAGTCAAAATCAACCAGTCATTTGAGCATCCAGTGTACATATACCACCAGTCTACCAAATACCTGTCATCAGATTTAGAAGCCATCAATAGCACATATTCATCAATAGAATCTCCTCTAACTATGTTTACTTCTTCTGACTTTATTTCTTTGTTTGACCAACAATCCTTAGCAAAGTGGTCAAATCTATTAAAACAGTATCAATTGAACCTTTCTTTTTTCAAGCTTCTCCTTTCCCTTCTAATGTTTCTTCTCATCACATTTAGAGGCTTCTGACTTCTGAGAACCATCGTGTATTTTCTTGGCTTCTGACCAAGACTGCTCCTGGTCTTTCTTAACAAAATAAGCTTTCAGAGCCTACTCTACCTCTCTTTCAGAGATTCTCTCAGTCAGATACAACTCTTGTGCCACTAGACTACTTGTTAGACAATGACAACTTATCTAGAGGGGGTGAATAGATACTCAAAGTAAAAATTACTTTTTAAAATTCTTTTTTTAAAGCAAATCAAAAACCATGGCAAGCGGAAGATTAATCCTAGATCGAACAAGTCGTTTAAACCGAACCGACTATTAGAAACTCATATATGCATAAACCACATAATGAAATCTAAAATGATGATAAGCGTCAATATAATAATTTCTCAATCAACCATTATATAATGATCATAATTGTTAATCAATTTCCAATGAAATTATTGATAAAGCTAAAACAAGCAAAATATCAAACACTTGGCGTGCAATCGATTTTTTAGATTTTCCCTTTGACTTTGTTTATATGAAATACCACTTACAATCGAATTGATTGTAATGTAATCAACTAAGCAATTATTAACAATCAAAGGATATGCCTATACAAATCGATTACACAATCAATGAATTAAATAATTTGCTATACAAAGTAAATGAGATATAGAAAGAGGGAGAGAGAGAGAGAGAGAGAGAGAGAGAGAGAGAGAGAGAGAGAGAGAGAGAGAGAGAGAGAGAGAGAGAGAGAGAGAGAGAGAGAGAGAG